GGCTTTGCTGATTTGTATTTTCCATATAAGAGATGTGAAAATGTCATGTTATTAATTTTTTTTTTTTTTTTTTTTTTTGGTACCGGGGATTGAACTCGGGTCCTTGCGCTTGCAGGGCAGGCCACCAAACTGCTGAGCTAAATCCCTGGCCCCTCGTGTTATTAATTTTAAGAGACTTATCAGTGTGCCTGTTTCTTCTCTCCCTCTCCTCTGTGTGTCTCTCTCTCTGGATTATGATCCTTCTACTGAATATGAATGGTCCAGTTACTCGCTAGGAAGATCACTTGGCAACCATGGCTTCACATTCTTCAAATTCTAATTCAAATTCTGAAAAATGTGTTAGTTATTTGTTAGTGCACAAAAAATCATTACATCCTTAATAGCTTACTGTACCATGTACCACATCACCTGTGTGTATGTGTGTGTGTGTGTGTGTGTCTGGGCCACCCTGTCTGGGCTCCCTGAAAAGTTGCAGTCCAGGTGTTGCCAACCAGGGGATCCCTAGTAAGGTCAGGGTCAGGTGGCTCTTGGCACAATTCATTTCCTCATTGCTGTAGAACACGGGGGTGCTTGCTTCCTCGAGGCCCACAGGAGAATTTGTCTGACATCAGGGCAGGTCTCATTTTAGGCTGCTCTTGTCAGTTCACCAGGGGCTAATGTTATAAAGGAGAACCTGATTCAGTTATCACAGCTCACTGCCGTACCATTGGGTAATTCGTCAAGCAGTATTTGAGAAGTAGTCATGAAGGGTGGAGGACTTCACAAGGCTGCTGCTTAGGGGTGTTCTGAAATGGTTCTGCCAGGGGGACCCAGCCAGTCATCCTGAGGGCAGGGTTTTCATTCGAGAAAGTGTAACTTCCAACAGTCTTCTGTGCAAGCTCCTAAGAGCAGCGGAATTACATTCCACAGAGCTAGCACACCTGGCTTTCGGAAGGAATGTGGCTCAGCAAGGGTTTTCTTGAAGAACAGAGAAGGCCCAGCCTGTTTTTAAATATGACCTGCGTGGTAGCAATGATGCGAGAACAGCTAAACACTGGTGCCTATTTTGGGATTATCAATGTTTATCAAGTAGATCTTTCTCTAGTGTTTGTAAACAAACTGCACATTGGACAGATTAAAGTTTCAGCATTATTTGTTAACTAAGGGCCTGAAATGGAAAAACTGGATGTCTGCTCCTCAACCAAGTTTATAGTATTTGACGGACAGAATTAAAAAAAAAACAACAACAACAACAACAAAAAAAAACTACCAGAGCAAGGCATTTCATTAAAAAGCCGGACATATGGTCCTTCTTCGGTGTGCTGAATGGACATATGGATTGCTGAACTTTCCTGCTCCCAGTTTCCTTACAGTTTATTTGTGTGGTGGGGTTAAGTGAGCCCAGGACACAGTGCTCCTCACAGCCAAGTGCATTTGAAAAGATTAATGCAAAGTATGTGCCCAACAAACAGGTTTCTGAGTAATTTAGAGATGATTTGACTTGACGCTAAAAGATGGAGAACTAAGGCTGGGCACAAAGACAGAAAGTGACAGTTACTTATTTGCTAGAAAAACTATTGGGTGTGAATCAGCAACTTTCTTTATCATCTGTTTGCTTATTTCAAGAAAACCTTACAGTCAGTCACCATTGAATTTTAACCAATTGGATATAAAGCTAGAGAGTTAATTTTTCCTGGGGTTTTAATCTGCTATTTCAAGCAAATGTTCTCTTCCCAATATTATGTGAGAAGCCCACCATGCATCACTGTTTACCTGTCTGAGAAAAACAAGCCTCCAACATGCATCCCAGGGCCGCATCTTTTATGATCCTCCGAAATCAGGGAACCCTCATGTGCGGCTTCGGTACTGGTGACCTGGTCTGCTGGCTGAAATTTATTTGCAACCACAAAGTCAGTGTGTCAGACCCTTACTAGGGTCACTGCAGACAAACTGACCAGGTGGAGCCGAGGCCGTGCTGGGGCATCCAAGGTGCATTCTCAGCTGAGGCAGAAGGGTGTGTGGCGGGGGATGCTCTGCCTTCTCCAGCTCTCCTGCTGCAAATTAATGTCCGGTTGGAGATTTCATTTGTGCCATGTCTTCGTGTTTTGGGTTCGCTTTGGTGATTCATCATTTACAGTGGCTCCTAAGAGCGGTGCTGAAGTGCTGGCTAATGTTCCTAAGTGTAAGAAAGCTGCGACTGCAAAGAGAATTCATGTTAGATCAGCTTTGTTCAAATAGGCTTCATGGTATCATGGATTGTAGATTCAAAGCTAATGAATACACACATATGTATATCATACATATAATTTTTAAACAGAAATCCATGCAAAACACGACTACGCATTCACTGGTAAAATACCCTAAGCACAGTGTTGAAAACCCTAACCCTGTATTTCCTCTAAGGGCGGCAGTTTAATAGGAGTTAAGTGTTTGGCGATGTGATGTGAAGCACACGCTACTAAGAAAGGAGACTTTAACACCTAGATTACTGTGGGTGATGGATCAATGTGCATGTGTTTGTGAAGAAGTGAGGCACAAGAGTATATTTTATTTGTTATAAAATCCTCAGCATCCTCTCTTAGGACTAAGAATTAGCAAAACTAGACTTGCGGGGCTGCAAGATTGCCTTCAGCTCACACACTAGGATGGAGGCATTGACTACAAAGTCTCTGTGTTAACTGACATGGAGAAAAGCTATTCCCTCTGCATAGTGTAGTTTTGTAGTTCACCCACAAACACAGCTAGCCATGAAGAAATGGTCAACTGCACACCAGCTGCGAAGTACATTTTCACTCACTTGTATATTTAATGCTTACCCAGCTCCTACCACCGGCACACACTGTTCTGCTTAAACAGGAAAACACCTCACAGTCTGGCTAACACATAGAAAGTAGGAGATTAAATCCCAGAACCTGAACATGAGTGTCACTTGGTAGTAAGAGAAAGAACAAAATTGGATAGATGAGATTCTGCACAATGAGGGAATATCATTCAATAATGTGTCCTCTGGACAAAAAACTCGCACCTGTCTAAAATCAGTGGAATTCCAATAGGCACTGGGTGCAACACACTTTTCGGAGTGCTTTGAGTAGGTTCTCATAGGGTGATACAAATGTAGAGTCACTTTCTAGTAGAAGACATAGAGGGAGAGTCGTACTTCCAGAATTTACAGTACTTCATAAATTTGTGGAATTGCACAGTGGACAAGAAATAGCTAAAGCAATACAAATATCATTTGTAAAGCTTCCATAGTAGAAAGAAAAAAAAATCTTTGAAGATTGAACTTAGATCATTTCAAGACACATGGAATCATATTTTTCTTCCACCAGTATATCATGTCCAGGAAAAGGAATTAATCTTCTTCGTATGGGCAGGCTTGGCACTACACGGCCTAGACCCAGAAGGGCTGTGTTCAACTTGAGAACAGTATTAATGGATCTGCAAGAACAACTGAAATGTTATCCAGACATTTCGCTCACAGACACCATAATGTAGTGAGGGCACATTTGGGTCTAACGCCACATTCACCTGGTAATTATGGCTGCACATTTTGATGCACTGTTTTGCTTAGGTTAAGGACCTCATCACTATTTTGAATTCAGCATGTTGAGTAAGTCTCTTTGAATAATAACTTTTTGTATTTTTGTCTTTAAAGACTTTCTATTAGTAAGATTAAATCTTATATCAATTCCTGACCCTTGAGCCCTCTGGGGTTGATACTCTACTGCTGGCCAGTTTTCCCTTTATACCAGCCCACGTCTCTAAACCAAACATATACTTTCAAAAGTCACTGTGACATTTCCATTTGGATGCTTAAAACAGCCTTTGAAGACTAATGCAGCCCACAAAAGCTTTCTTCCAAATGTAGCTTTTCTCCTGTGTTCGGTGAAAGGAACACTTGTAACTGGATGGACACCCTCTTCTCCTCCATCCCACACCACCTCAGTGAAACCTGCTCGATTCTGTGTCCTGCATACGTCAGTACTCACTGCTGTGCCTGTGATCGTGCCATGATTTATGGTCCCACTTTGGATGCAATCCATCTCTCCAGATTTACTTTCCCTCCCTCTGAACACACCTTGTAGGCCATACAGATTCAAAAAAAAAAAAAATTGGCTTGAGCAGTTTTCAAAAGCCATTTTTGGTATATATGTAAAGTTATTTCAAGTTTTTGAGACAGGGTCTCACTACGTAGTTGAGACTGACCTGGAACTCACTATGTAGCCCAGGCTGGTCCTGAACTCACAGTGATCCTCCTGCCTCAGCCTCCCGAGTGCTGTACGTAGAGTTGAGACTGACCTGGAACTCACTATGTAGCCCAGGCTGGTCCTGAACTCACAGTGATCCTCCTGCCTCAGCCTCCCGAGTGCTGGGATTACCGGTGAGTGCCACCATGACTAGCCTTTTTCTCTTCATTCTTCTTGAGAGCCTTGAACTTTCTGCTGGCCGCTTGGAACAGACCCCTCCTCATCTGTTGTTTCACCTTATTTTGTGTTATCTCCTACTTACCCTTCAGATATCAGTTAAAACATCATTGTCTCACTAAATATGTTTCCAACCACACCCACTTTCAATTAAATTTTATATGATATATTTGGGGGGCCTGATTTTTTTGAGTTCTTTATATATTCTAGATAATAGCCCTTTGTCAGAGGAGCAGCTGGGAAAAATATTTTCCCACATTACAGGTTGTCTCTTGGCTCTGTTTGTCATTTCTTTTGCAGTGCAGAATCTTTTTAATAAGATGAGAGCCCAGTTGTTGATTCCCTATGCTTAGGTCCCATGCTACTGAGGATCTGCTCACAAAATCCCCTCCCATGCCAATGTCCTCGAGGGTTTGGCCCAACCCATCCCCATCCTCCGGCAAATTCAGTGCCTCGCCTTTAATATTTAGACCTTTAATCCACTTGGAGTCCAGTCTAGCACATGGCAAAAGATAAGGGTCCAGTTCTAATCCTTGGCAGGTCGAAATCTAGTTTTTCCAACACCATCCATTAAAGAGGCCATCTCTCCTCCAGTGAGGCTGGTTGGCTCCTTTGTCAAAGATGAGGCATCTGAAATGAACAGACATTTCTCAGACACAGAAGTAAAAGCAGCAAATAAATATATGAAAAAATGTTCCACATCACTGGTGCTTCAAGAGATCCAGATAAAAACAACAGTGAGATTCCGTCTCAACCCAGTAAGAATGGCTGCTATCAAAACATCAACCAATAACAAATGCTGGTGGGGTTATGGGGGAGAAAGGAACCCTTCTCCATTGTTGGTGGGAGTGCAGACTGGTGCAACCACTGTGGAAATCAATATGGAGATACCTCAAGGAACTAGGATTAGAGGTTCCATTCGACCCAGCCATCCCTCTGCTGGGTATTAAAAGAATTAAAAGAATCATATCACAGTGATATATGCTCACCCATGTTTATAGCGGAACAGTTTGTAATGGCTAAGATTTGGAAACAGCCCAATTGCCCATCAGATGGAGACTGGATAAAGAAGATGTGGTTTTTCTATGAAATGGAATACTACTCAGCCATAAAGAATAAGAAATTAGAGTCATTCATAGGAAAATAGATGCATATGGAGGTCATACTCCTAAGTGAAATAAGTACTCATGCATGTGTAAATACCAAATAGTTTCTCTGGTGTGAAAAACTAAAAGTGTAAATGAGATCTAAATGGTATAATTGATAATGTGAAATAGGAAGAAAAGGGCTAAAGGTGTGGAGGAAGTGGAAGGGTAGGGGAAAGGAAATAAAGGAAAAGAAAAATATGAGAAAATCAAAAAATGCAAAAAAAGTTTTGTAAACAGGGAAGGGAGGAGCGGGTGAAGGGAGGGCAGGGACAAGAGAAAAAAATGAGAACCAAGACCTGTCATGTAAAGGTACAAGATCCCAATGATGAATGTAACTGCACTGTATATGTAAAAAGTACCAATAAACTCAATGAGAAAAAAAATTATATGATAGTTTCTCATAATTTCATTGTTTGTATTTATACACTGAGACTTCTTTTCACCTTATTATTTTAGGGTAGCATCCTTTAAAGTTACATATTGGTTGTTTGAAATGCACAACCTGGAGTGCTCGTCCTTCCAGAGGTGGAGATGTTTCTGAGGTCCGGGTTTGCCTGATCCTCACTAACATCTATGAGCCAGACATATACGTTTTCATTTTCTAAGGCTGAGAATCCCACCCACATACTCAGGCACAGTGGTTTATTTAAACAGAAACAATAAATTGTGCATTTCACCCTAAATATTTGTTTTCATTTTTAAAGTGCAACAAAAGAAAATTGTAGCCAATATGCTAGTAGTAAAAAAAAAAAAAAAAATGCTTTGGTCCTAAGATCCTGTGAATTGTGATAGAGAATGTTTTCAATCATTTCTTCCCTAAGAAACCAAAAACTAAGAATAATGAGATGTATTATGTCTACTAGAAGTGGAAACATGCATATTATTGATAAAACAAGATAATAACCAATGAGAAAAAAATAAGCAAGAAAAGAGCAAAATTAGCTTCCCCGAGTTCCCTCATTTTTCTTTTTCTTTACATGATTATATTTAATACGTACTCTTAGTGAAAGAAAGTATCTCTCAAACCTCACATAGACTTATTACATGTTTTTTTTTAAGGAAATGTACATCAGATCTACCTAAAAAACATTTTGTAGACTAAATATCAAGGATCCCCCTTCCAGTTTGGAAATTCCAGTTCTGGACCAACACATGTGCAATTGCAATAAAGTGGCAAGGTCTTTAACCGCATTTGGGTATGTAGGCATCATGGGGAATCACAGAGCCAGATGTGGTGAATATCAGGAAGTTTAGCTACAAAATGTCATATGTTCCTTAGGATTTCTTTATGTTTGCTAATACACTTATTAAATCTTTTTATACTTACCAATTTTCCTAATTTTCTTCCCCAAAATGTTTAAACTGACAGTCATTAACAATACGATTACTTTCCTTGATCTTTCATTGCAACACATTAAGATTATAAATAACATATCGTTTCTTCACCTTTTGGCTAAGAGCAAGTGAAGATTATAAATAACAAATTTTGGGTAAAAAATGAAATAAAAACATGTAATGTTAGGGAAACCATTTCTAGAGCACAATGTAAGTTCAGAGTAATTGGATTCAGATTGTTGACATTTTATATTAGAGAGTAGCCCAGTTACTAGACAGAACATTCAGTCTGTACACTCACTGAAAATCAAAATCATAAATTACAGTTCACTTCTTCTAACTCTTTGTTCTTCCATTTGCAATACAATAGCAGAGTTTTACCTGCCTCTAAAGTTTAAGAAATTGCTCTAGAAGCTCCGAAGTTCTCACATGAGCACACCAAGGAACAAAGCGGCTAAGTGGATAGAGACAGAAGGTCCTCCCGGTACTTATTATTCTGCTTCCTCGTATGAAAGTGAAAAATGGATCTCAGTACTTATTAAGACCTATACTCATTTTATTTAAAACGTAATATATCAACTTGTGTATTTGCAGGAAAAATATAATCAAGAATTATCTTTTTAAAAAGGGGTGAAAGACTTCAGCAGGGAATCAATACATAACTATAAGATTTTAGCTGATGATATTAGAAATATTGCCTTTGGTAGAATTTCCCAACACAGTAGGAAGTGTTTATATTCATGTATTTTATTAAGTTATCAACTGCGGTTGCATATCAAAATTGTACAATAATTGATAGTCAGCAGTTGTTCAGAACTTACAAAACAACACTTTTCACGTCCACAAAAACTCATAAGAGAAATATGACATTAAAGTCCAGTATGCTCAGGCTTACTTAAGGGACTATTCATACCTTTTCTCTGCTCCTATGTAGGCTGGAAAGAAAGCTAGCATCCTTTCCCAGTGGAAGCAGACATGGTGGGAAGCTCAGGGGATCTAAATGGTGAGCCAGCTCCACTGAAACAAATGAATAAAGCAGGCTGTAAAATACCACTCGAAAATAAATCCCAATACCCAGTGCATACACTTTCATCAACAGAAGCTTGTAAATGTATAGTTATATAGAAGAGCATTTACTTTGGAAGTTTACAGTTAAAAATTGTATTCACTGAAATGGTATGAATAATTATATTATTAAAAGCTAAGCACTGATAAAATGCATTTCATTATTAAACCATAGGCATACATTTTGGATTCATATCATTTATACAAATAGTTCTATATATTAAATTCTTCCAGAGAAAAATTCTAAGTATCTGTATGTTTAGAGCGATGGTCAGGAAACTAACACTTCTGTATTCTGGATGAACTTCTGTGGGATTTGAACACAGCACAGGTGTTCTGATGTAACAGCACCAGCAGTCGAACAATCTCCTCTGCGTTCCTCCTCTGTTGCACACAGTTCACAGCATTCTTCCTCGGAATAATTTTGCTGCTATTCTCAAATACAATCTTTGTTTTATTTTCCAAAACAATTTTTAAAGACTGTATGGGAAAAACGATTTCTTAATGGGAAACTTCAGGGCAGAAATTAACGGTCTAATAAATCTGAGAGTAAAGTACAGATATCTTACACAGATAAACATACTGCCAAATCAGGGTGTATTTCTAAACACTGCCTCTCTATTAGATTGTGAACTTTTCAATTAAAAGATACTGTTGTTATTTACATGAATATTGTAATTCTGCATTTCATCTATTTTACCCAATACGATGATTTATAGACAACTGACATTACCTGCTAAATGATTTATACTTTCGCCTTCTCCAAATATCACCGTGTATATATTTTCCTGAACCTCATTCCTACATGTCTACCAAAGATGTCTTATTGTATACATTGTTTCATATTTTATAGAGAAGACAATATATAGCTCACTAAATTATTATCCTGTAGTATTAAGCATAGTAGGTAGAATATGTAAAATTCTGCTGTTGGTTTTGGTTGTCACTAACCAAATGTGGCTGTCCAGCTTTTTATGAAAGTTAAATTAAGTGAAATTTAAAATCTAGTTTTTAATTAAACAGCTATATATCAAGGCTTCGGCCCTGTGGAATCAGTGACTACCACAGCTCGATGGAATAAATCCACCCTTGGGATCTAGCTCAGTGGCACCACGTCTGCCTTGCAAGCACAAGGATCTGGGTTCAATCCCTGGTACTGGAAAAAGAAAAATCCATCCTTGCAGGAAATCCTCCTGAAGGGCATGCGGCACACTGTGTTGCCCATGAGTGAAACACAGTCCAATCATAAGCTAGTTGTTGTTGAATTATAAATAAAATTACACGGCAAACATTTTGACACATTGACCATTAGTCACTTTAGGTTCTCTTTCCAAAGAATTTGAATCCCCAAAAGATATTCCTTTCTGAATCTGAATGGTAATGAACATCAAATAGGAGAAATTAGCCATCTGTAAGTAGAAGATACTCTAGGATATAAAAACAAGTATGGCGCTAAAAGGGCTGAGAATCCAACTGCTGCTAATACGACTGAGATACGATCATCATATTAGAAGAAAACATTTTAAATGAACAGGAAAAAGATCTTAATGTATTGTCACAATTTCGCAGCAGTGTTCTTTCAAGAAAGTGTATCACATGTAAGTACCTTAAACATTTGAACATAAACTATGCCACATAGAAAAAACAAATTACTGTATATGATCTCAATTACAGCTATAAAAGTATATGCAAGACTGTGTTGTAATGATATTAGGATATTATGACAGGAATAAAATCACATTATTCTTGAGGATTTACAGCATTTTCCTATAGGTGATCTCGTTTTATTCTCAAAGTGATGTGACAACGTAAGGATAAAATGTAAGATGAAGGTACACCACATCGGCCTTACATCTAGATACTATTAAGGTTGACATCTGGATAGAGAGCTCATGTGCTCATAGGTGGGGCTTTGTGGGGTGACTGGGTCATGGGCAGGATGCTCACAGTGGCTTTGTCCTCTGATAAGCGTATAACTAAGTGTGAGGTGGAGACTGCAGCCTGGTTGGAGAAGGAAGTCCCTGGGGCATGGCCAGAAAGTCCGTCTCCGCCTCCTCCCTTGCCCTCTTTCTGCTGGGCCAGAAATTCTTTCTTCTCTGCCCTGCCCTCTGCCTTGGAGCCAACTGACTGTGGACTGAATCCTCTGCAGACTGTGAGCCGGAATAAAGCTTCCCTCCTTTACGTGGTGGGTGTTGGGTATTGTGACCCAATAATGAGAAAGCAACCAAGGTGCCTTTTCAATTCAGTGAAAGCCCCCGGACGTCACTATTCCCAAGCGCGGTTACAATGGTTCATACACCTGCATCTTGATGCTGTCTAGAATAGTGTGTTGAATAGAGGACAGGAAGATTCAAGTCAGCCTAAAATATAAGCATAACTAGACTACTTATTTATAAATGAAAACACCCGGGTTCCATGTCAGGGATAAGCGCATACAGTGTTCCGGTGAGGAAGATAAGTAATGAACATGACACTGAAGGAAGACCAAGAACAGAGAGGAAAATCTCTTTCCAAAGAAACAGAAAAATTTTAAGTTTTGGGTCTGGAGTGCTCTAGAGGCTTGAATTTTACATTTCATGTATGTCTAAATTATTTTTCTTTGTTGCTGGGAATAGATACTTGGCATGCACAACCGGAGGAGGAGAGGCTCAGTGCGCCTCACAGAGGAGTGAAACCCCCAGGCCACGCCCTGCCTGACCACCCTGTGGGGGACCGGGTTTCACCTCCCACCACCACGTTTAGTCGTGAACTCATCCATGGCCAGTCCACCATTGGGCGTCACTCCCCCATGACCAGTCACCTCCAAAGGCCCTACCTATGAATGCAGGAGGCTTGGAGGGACATCAAGTTATAACTATAAGAACATATAAGAGAGATGATGAGGAATTTGTCTCTGTGACTGGATATTTTACAAGTTCTCTCCAGATTCATCCATGTTGTTGCGAATGACAGCTCTTCTTTCTCCGTTAAAGCCAGTAGTACTCCACTGTTGATATGTGCCATGTTTTCTCGATCTCCACATCCTTGGATAGATCTTTGGTTTGATTCCATATTTCAGCTGCTGTGAATGATGCTGCACAATCTCTTTCCCATCCTGAAAGTGCAGCTATCTTTTGGACTTGCTGATTTTATTTTCTTTGGACTTATGCTGACCGGTGGGGTTGTTGGATGATGTGATAGCTCCTCTGTGAATTTCTTAAGGAATTTCCACAATGTTTCCTATAGTGAGGATACTAATTTACATTTTACAGCCCGGCCCGTAATGTGCGAGGGCTCTGTTTCCTCCACATCCTCAGCCACTCTGGATACCTTTCATGTGTATGGCAGTAGGAGGTGACATTTCACCTTGGCTTTTTCACTTCTCTGACAACTGGCAGCAGTGAGCATTTTTGCAGATCTCTACTACAGAGAAGAATGCCTCTGCTCCTTCTCCTTCTTTTTCTCCTGCTCTTCTCTGTGTCCTGTATAGCCATTTCCTTTTCTGATTTTTCAGTTGAATTTTTTTTTCTTGCTGTGTATTGGCTTTGACGTATGAGTAAGAGTTTGTTCAATCAGAAAATGATGAAGGTGATTTGGGACAGTGAAAAATAGCACCACAAAAGTCACAGAATGATAAGTGCTTTCAAAACCATCCTCTTATGATTTTTTTAAAAGCACGATGTTATTGTATCATGGTTATTTACCCCTGGATGCACAATGAAATTATTTTCTGAACTGAGAGTGGAGGCTGCAAGCCAGGTTTAGGAGAGAGGCAGCCTGAGGTTCTGTTTCATACCTGCTCAAATTAAAGAGTTGATATGAAATGATAATTTTGAGTGAAATTGTCTTTTCATGTCCAAGGTATCCTGGAATTAAGACGAAATAATATTCTCCTTTTGACAAGATATGCCACTGTTTGTGTACCTATCAGTTTCTTAGTGTATTTTTTAGAAACATGATTAATGTTTCCTTTGTCATATCATCGTCACCAAATTAAAAGCCTGTATAGTTTTATATATTTTAAGGCATTTTCCCTATTGTAATAACTGGGAAAAGGAGACAGGCAGAATAAACTTTATTATTCCATGGCATGTGGGATGGAGTGAGATCCAGTAAAAATGTGGAACACATTTTTATTTCTAGATAGTATACTAACATTGTATTTCCGTGGGAAAATGTGAAGTTTCTGCGAACATCTTGTTTTTCTCGAAATAGTACTGCAATTTGTTGGAAAAAGCTCATAAGCTAAAGGCAAAGTAGATTAGTTCACTGTCAAGGAATTTAACCAAAATGATAAATAAACATCTGAGGCAAAAATGTGAACACAGAGCAAGAAGAATAAAGTAAAACAGACAAAAGCAGAGGACAAAGAACAGCTTCAGCACCAATAGAGCAGAGCATTTTCAGGAAATCAGCAGTCAGGGAGAAAAGGCTCCAGAACCTAGAAATCCTTGCCCTAAAAGGTTATTCTGTCTGCTGGAAAAGTGAGGGGAAAAAGTTAGTCAATCTTCAGATGCAGGGATACTTGGACATAACCCTGAATTTGCGATGCATTCAAGATGTCTAGAGAGCAGAATCTTATACAGTATTGATGACTTCTGCCTGGGAAGGACACAGTCAGATGAGTTGACCTATCACGTGCAAGCACAACTGTAGGAATAATTTTCCACTTATTCCCTTAGAGGAAAAATTCCCAGAGAAGAATTCTCTGCCTGGAACTTGCACACATTTTACCAATGCTAGCAGTTTCTTCGGCACTGATGCTTTGCTTTCTTTAGCTGCTCCTGTTATGCTGCTGGAACTGTTTCCTTGTCTGGAAGGTGAACCCAACCTGACTTTCTCCCTAAGAATTTTGTGTATGCTAGTGTTTATTGAATGAATGGCCACAGCATTCATTTATGATGACAGTGGCTTGCAAATGTTTGCTTTTTTTGGAGTTTGTATAAGAACTAGAAAGTGTTTTCCAAAACAACATGAGCCAGTTCACAAGTGCAAAATCATTGTGTAATGCAGGGTAAAGGTTAGCGCAGCCAGGATTGCTGAAAGCCATTTGTCAAGCATGTATCAAGTCCTGAGAGCTCTTCTCATGGTTATGAGGCACCAAAAAACATTTAACATGACTTCTACCTGCACCGAGCATATCATTTATTTAAAAGAGAACCCTAGCACATTATTTCATCCCAAAGGTCAGGGCAAATCTTGTATTTCACGTCATAGATACCTCGTGACTGGCATCCCAGAAGGGTTGGCGTGCAGTTGCGACTGGTTTGGTAGAATTTACCTAGAAGAAGTAACTGTATTTGGACCTTAATAGATGGTTAGGATTGGATGACGAGGAAAGGAATATAAAACAGGCCTATCCTAAAGCAAGGCACATGGTCTACTCATGGATTGGTAAGGAAATAATATAAAATACCTGGTCTTAAAGAGGCTACAATAAGGAGCCGGAGAACAAAAAGAAGTTTGTGTTTATATCTAGCCAAACTGTGCAGAAAAAGAATTGTTAAGTTTTAGGCAAGCTTGGGTATGATCTTGACCATCCTTGGTCATACTGGACCAAACTTGGCAATGGCCTTGATCGTGTTATTACAGACGGCAAAGTTAGGTAGAAATACTGTAGACAGTGAGACAGGGATAGGCCTTCAAGGGAGTCAGTGCAGAAGATGAGAACATAGTACAGCTGTGGCTTGTGGCGCATTTAGCATAGGCCAGGCCTCAAGACAAAGACAGACTGACCAGACCTGTGTGCCTCTCTAAGGGATAAGCCATAAATTAAGGATTACAATCCTTATACTACCTGGTCCAATAAAGTCTAGACAGACATAAATCACCAAGGACCGCCTGATCCATCCCTTCTTATGAAGGTCTCCTTTCTAAGGACAGTTGCTACATGAACTGCTTCTCTATTGGATCAATGTAGCTATTCTTGTAATACCTTGTATACCTAAGTAGCTATTCTTGTAATCTTATCGATTGATCATAGTCTTACTCCATGTTTACGGATTAACCTTGTGATTTTGTACCATTTTGTGATTTTGCTCTATAGCTTTCCTTTGAGAAGTGGGCAGTCCACTTTCAGATTTCCTCCTGTCTCTCAGGAGCTATCTCCCTCAATACATTTTTTTTCTTACTCATATCCTCCCTTGCTCCCTAGAATTCTCTCTTCAAGTTTGGGGAACCAAAACTCAGCATATCTGACATCTGCCAAGTTGGGAGCTGTATGATTTCCCCTATATCAGTGTGATTTGCTCAGACAAGTGGGAAGTTCATGGATGTGATAAATGCAGTGTTCTGAGAAGTGGCCTTGTGGGGACATGGCCCAGGATGTTTTCGTCTTTGTAATGATAAGAACAGACTCCAGAGCCGCACCTTCTTCTGTCAGAACCAAGTGGGAGCCTGAGATGGAGATGTACAGTGAAAGTGTGGTCAGCCCACCTGAGATCCATAGCCTGGAGAAGCCCTCCTAATGAGGGATCCTCACATACCCGAGAGTGAGGTTAACTGTGGTCTTTGTGTTTCCCACGGACATGGGGACATGGTGCTTTTGCCAAAGCAATAGCTATAGATTTTGCTGTACTCAATCCACTTTCAAGTATCATATGTTTTATGGAGAATTTGACAGCTTTACCATCTATAGCTGAAGATTATTTTCTTCAGTAAACTTCAAGTTTTCTTTAACAATGCATTTTAAAAATATAAGTCTTAGGAATTTAATGTATATTTAAAGTATTTAGTCACTTTAACCAAAGTTACAATATTAAATACTGTTCCCAAAGGGCACCTAACACCTACAAATATTTACTTTTTGGGACTTATTAACACAAATTAAATTGGAATGACTAATTTAAAATTTCCTATATATTTAAATAGCAATATAATTCTGAATGCTAGTCTTTTAAGAGATTTGTTAGTTTTCTAATTTAAATCAAATATTTGATATATTGATTTATGTTATTCAAAAATTGTTTTGTTTATCCATTTCTATAACTTTTGTTGAAGCTTTATTTTTCTCAATGTTTTGTTGGATTTTGTAACAGTGCACAAATTTTCAAAAATACCAAGCATGTTTAGTTTTGCTGGAAAATATTGTTTGTCTCATCTGCTAGAAGGCATTTAAATTGATTTTAAACGGAAGATAAAACAAAAAAGAA